AGATATAGATCATCTTGTCGAATACAAAGTATACCAAAGAATATAGGATATCATTGAAGATAAAACCAGCAACAAAACATAGAAGTCACGTCAGTACTTAAATTTAAACCTTTTGAAGAGTGGCTTTCTACCTTATCCAACAATGTTCTTACTGCAGACAAGAAAGAACTTGAAATCAATAAAATTGAAATTCAAAATGTCGACTTTTTTGGTTCAAGAATTGGATTTGTTAAATTCAAAGTAGATGCAAAACTCATTGAAAATGGAAGCAATGTTCCTGGAATTGTTTTTATGGTTATACTTAATTTCTTTTTTTTTTGTCTTATAAATAAATAAATAAAAAAAAAATATGGAGCATGACCAAAATAAATATTTATATCGATCGAGTTTTCAACTTGAATTGCTAAATTCGAATCAATTGTCTTTTTAGAGAGGTGGCGCAGTCGCCGTACTACTAATTCTCCGATCCAAGGATCCAAATAGCCAAATTTTAAAGGAGCATGTTGTTATTACCTATCAACCACGTTTGCCCGTCCCATCTTTTAATTTCCCAGAGATACCTGCAGGTATAATTAAAATAGTTTGTCGGTTGTATATTGAATGTATTCCAATTTGTACACCTTTATCTATTACGGAAATAGGAATGCTCGATGGATCGGGCAATTTCACCGGAAAAGCTAGCGAAGAAATTAAAGAAGAAACGGGAATTGAAATAAGAGATCAAGATCTTATTGATTTGACCGAACTGGCCTATGGAAATAAATTTAGAGGAGCGTATCCATCGCCCGGTGGTTGTGATGAATTCTTAAGATTATGCTTGTGTATTAAGGAAATGGATCACGAAAAAGTTAAAAGTTTAGAAGGAAAACTCTGTGGGATACGAGATCATGGAGAAAGCATTACAGTTGGATTGGTAGAGTTAGATGATCTATGGAAAATTCCCGATATGAAGGCATTGTCGGCCCTAACTTTGTATAAAGCACTAAAAAAGAATGGCCAACTTTAAAAAATGTAAAAACATAAATTATTGATCACCTTTTGCTATGCGAAATTAATTTATTAAATTTGCTGACAATATATATAGTTTCTTGCTTTTTATTCTCGGGTTTACTAAAATGCATCATTGCACCATAGTCGCTAATTTTAGGTAGTGTTCCACAAAAAAATTGTTCGTCCCCGGTTAGGGTCACCGACTTTCTGCTGCGACTGACCCCAAATTCTACTTCTGATAAAAGTCGATTTATGCGAATTTATGCGATAAAATTTTTAGAATTATGCGACAAATTATGACTTAACCAAAAAAAAATTCTATCAAAGCTCATCTAAAATATATTTTCTACTTCCGAACTTTCCAGCCAAAAACACTTTTGATGTATACCATGAATTTTATCTTCTGGCCCAAATTATGCTAATTTCGTTCAAAATACCATTTTATCAAATTATGACTTCCCATGCCTATATAATTATGCGAAATTATAGGGTTGCAGCTTTATTATTCATCAGCCTAATTATTCTTTAGGCTAGAATGATTTTAACCATTTAAGAGCAGAGTGGTCAGTAACTAGAGTAAAATAGTCTATTTCAAAATATTTGTTTTATTATTTAAATCGGAAGTACCAGAACTTTACATTTGAATTAAACATAAATTTTCTATATTATATTCCTGTACTAATAAAGACTCACTCGGCATTAAAGCCCAGGTGCAACCCACCTAAGCAGCCAATTTGCTTCACGTTGGATCCTCAACTTACTGAGGATTTGGTTCCTTCGATCCTTAGCTGGGAGCTACCGATCTTGTCAAATATTACTATTTTTTTTTTTGTAATATTGGTTCAGGAGGACCAGTTTGGTTTAACATGATATCTGATTAGATTTTGATTGTTTTCTTTCACCACCTCTAGGACTTATTTTTCAGAGGTTTTTTTCCATTCTTCTTTCTTTGTGGTCCTGTTTTCTTTATCATCTGATTCTTGAGTTGATCTCTTCTTTTACATTGTTTTTCTTCTTTTTTTGACTTTAGTGATGATTTTATTTCTATCTTCCAATCATTTATTAGCTTGTATTTAAAGTTTCATATACAGGTCCAGAATCTTTTGTCAAACTTCTTTTTAATTGTATTTAACATCTTGTGTCTTATATTTCTATCTTCTTCTTGATTTTTGTTTTTCTTTTTTTAGTTATAAGGTTTCTTATTAGGTATCTTCTTGCTTTTATTCTTTCTTCTTGTATTTTTCCAAAGAATAGTTTTTTGACTACTTCTTTGTCATTGAGTTCTCCTATTATGCCTTCTTTTTAGAGTACTTTAAGGTTTTTGTTGCTGGTTTTATCTTCAATGATATCCTATATTCTTTGGTATACTTTGTATTCGACAAGATGATCTATATCT